CACGGCCTCCAACCTCATCATTCCCCAACCTCGCACTGCTCGCTTCTATCTCCTTCCCAAAATCCACAAACCTGAATGCCCTGGTCGACCCATTGTCTCCGCCTGCTCTTGCCCCACCGAACTGATCTCCAACTATCTGGACTCCATTTTCTCCCCCTTGGTCCAGGAACTCCCTACCTATGTCCGTGACACCACCCACGCCCTCCACCTCCTCCAGAACTTCCAATTCCCCGGTCCCCAACACCTCATCTTTACCATGGACGTCCAGTCCCTCTACACCTGCATTCCCCATGCAGATGGCCTTAAGGCCCTCCGCTTCTTCCTGTCCCGCAGGCCCGACCAGTCCCCCTCCACTGACACCCTCATCCGCTTAGCCGAACTCGTCCTCACCCTCAACAACTTCTCTTTCAATTCCTCCCACTTCCTACAGACAAAGGGGGTAGCCATGGGTACCCGCATGGGCCCAAGCTACGCCTGCCTCTTTGTAGGTTACGTGGAACAATCCCTCTTCCGTACCTACACCGGCCCTAAACCCCACCTCTTCCTCCGTTACATTGATGACTGTATCGGCGCCGCCTCGTGCTCCCACGAGGAGCTCGAACAGTTCATACACTTCACTAACACCTTCCACCCCAACCTTAAATTTACCTGGACCATCTCTAACACCTCTCTCCCCTTCCTGGACCTCTCTGTCTCCATATCGGGCAACCACCTCGAAACCGATATTCATTTCAAGCCCACCGACTCCCACAGCTACCTAGAATACTCCTCCTCCCACCCACCTTCCTGCAAAAATGCTATCCCCTATTCCCAATTCCTTCGCCTCCGCCGCATCTGCTCCCAGGATGAGGCATTCCACTCCCGTACATCTCAGTTGTCCTCGTTTTTCAAGGACCGTAACTTCCCCTCCTCGGTGGTCGAGAATGCCCTCAACCGTGTCTCCCACATCTCCCGTACCTCATCCCTCACACCCCGTCCACGCAATAAAAACCAAAAAAGAATCCCCCTCGTCCTCACGTACCACCCCACCAACCTCCGGATCCAACGCATCATCCTCCGACACTTCCGCCATCTGCAATCCGACCCCACCACCAAAGACATCTTTCCCTCCCCACCTTTATCTGCTTTCCGGAGGGACAACTCTCTCCGTGACTCCCTTGTCCGCTCCACACTCCCCTCCAGCTCCACCACACCCGGCACTTTTCCCTGCAACCGCAGGAAGTGCTACACCTGCCCCCATACCTCCTCCCTCACCCCCATCCCAGGCCCCAAGAAGACTTTCCACATCAAGCAGATGTTCACCTGCACATCTGCCAATGTGGTATACTGCATCCGCTGTACCCGGTGTGGCTTCCTCTACATCGGGGAAACCAAGCGGAGACTCGGGGACCGCTTTGCAGAACACCTACGCTCGGTTCGCAATAAACAACTGCACCTCCCAGTCGCGAACCATTTCAACTCCCCCTCCCATTCCTCAGACGACATGTCCATCCTGGGCCTCCTGCAGTGCCACAACGATGCCACCCGAAGGTTGCAGGAACAGCAACTCATATTCCGCTTGGGAACCCTGCAGCCCAATGGTATCAATGTGGATTTCACAAGTTTCAAAATCTCCCCTCCCCCCACCGCATCCCAAAACCAGTCCAACTCGTCCCTGCCTCCCTAACCTGTTCTTCCTCCCACCTATCCCCTCCTCCCACCTCAAGCCGCACCTCCATCTCCTACCGACCAACCTCATCCCGCCCCCTTGACCTGTCCGTCCTCCCTGGACTGACCTATCCCCTTCCTAACTCCCTACCTACACTCACCTTTCCTGGCCCCATCCCCGCCTCTTCGACCTGTTTGTTTCCTCTCCACCTATCCTCTCCTCTATCCCTCTTCTATCCGCCTCCCACTCTCTCCCTATTTATTTCAAAACCCCCTTCCCCTCCCCCTTTTCTGATGAAGGGTCTAGGCCCGAAACGTCAGCCTCTCTGCTCCTATGATGCTGCTTGGCCTGCTGTGTTCATCCAGGCCTGCACCTTGTTGTCTCTCATCTGTACCCCTCATTATTTTATAAACCTTTATAAGATCACCTCTCAACCTCTTACGCTCCAGTGAACAAAGTCTCAACGATCTAGCCTCTCCTCATAACTGTCATCCCCACCCTCAGTAACATCCTGGTAAATGTTTTCTGAACCCCCTCCAGCTTAATACTATCCTTCCTATAACAGAGCGACCAGAGCGGGACACAGTACTCCAGAGGAGGCCTCACCAACATCTCATACAATCTCAACATGACGTCCCAACTCCAATACTCAAAGGTCTGAGCAATGAAGGCAAGTGTGCTAAATGCCTTCTTAACCACCTTATCTGTATGTATTGTGAGCTTCAAAGAATTATAGATTATAGAATCCCTACAGTGTGAAAATAGGCCCTTCGGCCCACAAGTCCACACCGACCCTCAGAGCATCCCACCCAGACCCATCCCCCTATAACCACCTTGTCTTTGTTTGTTTTACCAAAATGTAATACCTCGCATTTGTCCAAATTAAACTCCATTTGTCACTCTTCAGCCCAGTGACCCAATTGATCAAGATCCCTTTGTAATCTTAGAGAACCTTCTTCACTGTCCACTAAACCATCAATCTTGGTGTCATCCGTAAACTTACTAACCATACCTCCTATATTCTATATTCTCATCTAAATCATTTATATAAATGACAAACAAAAGTTTGTTGCTTCCATCAGAATCTGTCTGTGGGGTAAGAGATTCCCAATGTGTTCAGCCACGACATCGCAAAGTTTACTGGCTGAGCTGAGTAATGCTGCATCTGGATACTTTTAATTTTTCAGATTCTTTGAAGTCTCTTGTCTTTAGCTCAAAATGTGCACTACTGACAATAGTGAACATGAAGGTACAGAGTACGGGAATGTGGGGATGATGCTTTGCAAACAGCATTCTGCTCTAACCTTCCATTTATTATCACTTGTTTGGACAGCAAATCAGTCTGCTGCCTGGGAAGCACATCCCTGAGCCTCGTTCTCCTGGTCTCAGTCTGTGCTGCATGTCCTCCTTGAGGGCAAACGTGGTATTTGGTACTAATAAGGTACTAATGTCCTTTAGGGAAGGAAACTGCCATTCTCGCCTGGTCTGGCCTACATGTGACTCCAGACCCACAGCATTGTGGTTGACTCTTAACTGCCCTCTGGTAATTAGAGATGGGCAATAAATGCTGCCCAGCCAGCGACGCCTTCATCCCGTGAATGAATAAAGAAAAAAAAAATGTATCGAACGAGTAAGATAGATGGAGGCTGAACTGTCTCCAATGTAACTGGAACTAATTGTGACTCCCTATTCCCATATGCGCCTGCATTCCCCAGCATTCCCATTCTACCCACTAACTCCCCCACCCCCAAACCAAGATTCCCCCCTCCATGGTTCTCTCCCCACCAAGCCCTGTCCTCACTAGACCCCCTCCCGACACAGGATCCATCCTTCCAATCTGCCCATCGATAGGGTAGCATTATAATTATACAAAAGAACAATCAGGCCTGATCCAACACAGAGGTGGTAATTGTATCAGACTGTGGGAACAACAGTAGAGAGCAACGAGACACATTGTCAGAAAGCTGGACCAGGCTGGGGAGAGGGGGAAGCGGTGCAGTTCTTGTTGAGCATTGGGCATGTGGCGGGGTGCATTCGAGGCCCGGGGTTAGCACCCCACCGATTCAGTCAGTGAATGGTCTGAAAGCCAGCAGAGGTGGGTCTTCCACCATCACAATGAATCCGTAAATTAGTTTAAGATCCGCTTCGGATTTCGTGACAATCTGGAACTTCCTTAAAATCTGCCGCGGTGAGGGAGGGAGGGAAAACAAAACAGAAAAGAGAGTGGAAAATGGGTTAGACAGCGGCTTAATGGTGAAAGTAAATTCTGATTGTGGCTGAGTAGTGAAAGGAAAGGGGGAGGATGGAGGCTCGAGCTGATCTGTGCTGACAAGGATGATCCCACGCAGGGAGCTGGGACGGTCCCATCTATACACCCCAAACACTCAGTGAAAAACCAAACCCCAGGTGAAGGTGAGCAACTTGAAGCATGAGGGTCACCACCAGAAAGGTCCAAGGAGAGGGCTGGTGGTGGTGGGGGAGCCAGACACTGGAATTTGGGGAATGACAGGGATAGAGACAGTACCACACTGGGCAGCAGACTGACTGTCGTTTAGATTTGGGACAGAGACAGACGATCTGTGCCCCACCGGCAGGACAGAAATTAAAGCCTCCACGTGATTGAAGTCAGGTTAACCCACACCATCTCCTGCCAGGTTTAACTCAAGAGATAGAGTGAGGTGTGTCTATCCACTGAGTCCCATGTCCAGTTCCTGCCTTGTACTCACGTGGACCAGAAAGATTCCAATTTCCGTCTCTGCAACCCTGCGTCCGATGCATTGTCTCATGCCAAAACCAAAGTTCACAGCCTGGAAATAGTTTCTGTCAGTGGTTAGCCACCTGCCTGGGTTATACCTCTCAGGCTCTGGAAAAATCTCAGGACTCCTGCCCATGGTGTAAAGTCCTGCCATCACCATGGTCTGTGGAGAGAAAGAGAAAGAGAAAGAGAGATCCTGTAAATTAGGAGATCCAATTAGATCAGGTGGAAATCACATCGTGGAAGCTGGACCACACAGGAAGAGATACATCTCAGTAACAACTTCCACCTCCCCAGCACCATCCCGAAGTACATACTTTACAGTCAGTGATTTATTAAACTGAACACACTCACAAACTGTAACGTATGAAACACAGCACAACGTACATGTACAGGAAATTCCCACAAACAATGCAAAGCTAACCAGATACTTTTATTTAAACACTTAACAGGATACAAACTGACACAGAAAACTTGGAAGAACTCACTTGCTCTTCTCAGAAACAGTGACCATGGCATCCTCTGTATACCTGGGAGGATCCAAAATACCATTGTTACCTTCGACAGTGCCCGCTCCCTCAGCACTGACCCTCCGACAGTGCCCGCTCCCTCAGCGCTGGCCGTATTCCCAGTGCTGTAGCATGGATGCTGGTTACCGAAGAGTGTGTGGGTTGCAGTGTCATGGAATCCCTACAGTGCAGAAAGTGGCCAATTGGCCCATCAAATTTGCACCCACCTTCTGCAAAGCATTCTACCCAGACCCACAACACCACCCCATCCTCGTAACCCCTCATGGGGCTTTTCCTTGGCCAGTCCACCGAACCTGCACATGTTTGGACTGTGGGAGGAAACCGGAGCACCCGAAGGAAACCCACGCAGACACGGGGAGTATGTGCAAACTCCACACAGACAGTCACCCCAGGGTGTAATCGAACCCGGGTCCCTGGCGCTGTGAGGCAGCAGTGCTAACCACTGAGCCCACCGTGCCATGTTTTTGAGCCTGACAGCACTTACCCCAGCTGGAATGTGGTAATTCTGAATGACAATGTCCTGAACTGGATACCGTTGCAGAGTGACACCTATTGGGTACAGCCTGGAAAGTGGAACATGAGCAGTTGGTGGAATGAACACATCAAATATACCAGCAATGATCCACAGCCGGAACAACAGGACACACAGACACCGACTGAGGCAATATTTCACATCGTCTCTTTCACCGGCTCAGGCTACTTTGTCACAGCTTGCTTTCTCTGTCAACAGTGGTCCTGGATTCACATACACACTTCCCAGCGGGGATTACTGGACAGTGACAGGAACAGGAACCCTGGCTGCTTTCCCCCTGTCTCTCTCTAATATAGGGGTCAGTGGGCAGTGACTGGGATCAGGAACTCTGGCTGATTTCCCCTTCT